TGCATTTGAGATGGAAAGCAAGCCAAATAATAGTAAGATGCATGCGACATTTGAGCAGCATTATTAATTATTATGTTTGTAGGTCGGTGTTGATAAGCACTTGAACATCGATATAATATTTGCTTTGTTGTGGTCATTAATTAGTTAGACTTAAAGATATGCTACCCAAGAGCGTTTGGATGAGATGGCTTGGGTCTCTTCCAGCTTAACCAGTGGTCTCGTATTCGAGCCCTGTGAATGCAACAATGTTAAAACTCTTGAGGGAGAGCTTTGCCGCCCTTGTGGTCATACTCGGCTCGATTTTGGATTAGTCGGTTCTCCTGTGGATTCAGAAACCGGAAGGTCCCTGTAAAAATAAAAAAAAAAAAAGATATGCTATGATTCCTATCCGCTTTTCTTTGTAAAGTTGCAGGTATGGTAGTAGGTCGGTTTAAACACGAATAAGAAAATGTTAATTAATATAAATACAGTTTCATGCACTCTTCTAGAAGAATTGGGCATGTTGGCTCATGTAGAATGGGTCTAGATATTTAAATCAGGTGAGACCAAATGCTTACGATAACAATTGAAATGACAAAGTTATTATAATCCATTACTATAAAATTATAGCAATAAGGAAAAATATGAAAATAGCATGAAGATTCCTGCCAAAAAAATTTCGTTTTTACTATTATTTGTAAAGTTTTTCAAAATCTTACATTAAAAAAAAAAAAAAAATCGTTTTTACTATTATTTGTAAAGTTTTCAAAATCTTACATTAATCCCGCCTTTGGAATCCTATGTGGCAAAAATTACATGCTTCGTTATTAGGCTTGGGTAAAATTTAATTTAAATCCAAACCAAAAATAATTAGGTTCGGATTACCATAAATATGTTGATTATTTATGATCATGTTACATGTATTAATTGCATTTTGATATCATTCCTTATTATAACTATTGAATTGTATATATATTTTAAAAGTTAATAACTTTTGTATTTTTTATCAGTTTTACATATGTAATATATCAAATTAATCTTCTTTTGATGAGCTTCAATTTAACATCCATATTGTATGTATAAAAAAAATAATTTATATTTATCTTGATAACAATAATAAATTTTTTTTAATATTAATTAGAAAAATAGAATTATTTATCAACTAATATATTTATATTTCAAGTAGTTATATGATATAAGTTATATAAACTAATACTCCCTCCTATTTTTTTTAAATGTCATTCTAGCATTTTCAACTATTTGCTAAATAAATGTCATTTTGGATATTTTGTACATATTTTTCCATTATTACCCTCATTTAGTCAATAAATACATTTTATCTTTTCATATTCACTCTTCATTTTTTTTCAAAACATTCATCTCTATCTTCATTAAATAAGGTTATTATTGACAAACAAATATTCTTAATTAGCGTGCAACTTCTCAAAACGACATATATTAAAAATAAGAGGTAGTATAATATAACACATGTAAGTCATAGACTCATAAGTAACACATATCATTCTAGAATATATAGAAATATTTTTTTTATTTGTAAAAAAGTAAACTAAATTTAATATAGTTTTCTAATTAATTTTAAAATTTAAGAATAATTTTTTAACAAGCACCCGTGTAATACACGGGTGTTGTACTAGTTAGGATAATAATTTTGAAAATTTGTGCAAATCTCCTTAAAGTTAGGAAAATTGTTTTGTCCATATTTATATACATACAATCGGACTTGCTCACCTAGCAAATGTGTGTACCAAGATTTCATCATAATAAAAACACGTACCCACAATAAATAAATAAATAAATAATAAAAAAGAGTCCTTAGTTTGCCTATCTAATTTAAGTGATTATATAGTGATTTTTACGAAATAAAATTAGTGGTTTGACTAATAATTTTAACTAAATTATCGTGGTTACTGGTTCTAATATGACTATGAGGTTTTAATTGATTTATAGGATGTTAACAAGAGAACTCCCATCAATTGAACAGACAGAATTAGCATTGATGTTCTAATTCGATAATTAAACTATATTATTTTTGTTCAATTAAAAATCATTATCCGTAATTAAGAAATCTTATTTTCACATAACATAATATGATTGCAAATAAAGGAAAATACTTTAAAATAGAATATTATCGCATTTTAATATTGAAATGTTCCTTATTAGGCTTAATATATTTAATAAACTAATAAAATCACATGTATATATATATAATTATTATAAAAGGGTAAATTTAAAAATTTGAATAGAATTCGTTTATGGTTCAATATTTATTTTAAATTATTTATATATTTTTTTAATATAATTACGTCAATAAATAATAGTAATGTAT